GCGACTCTATCAGCAGCAGCAGAAGCAGCGACTCTATCAGCAGCAGCAGCGACTCTATCAGCAGCAGCAGCAGCGGCAGCAGCGGTATCAGGGGCAGCAGGGGTCGCGCGACTCCAGCTTCTGCCGTGGGCGGCATCGAGGAGGCGCGGGAGCGAGCGAGGGCCCAGCTGGGCCAGGTGAGGCCCAGCTGGGCCAGGTGAGGCCCAGCTGGGCCAGGTGAGGCCCAGCTGGGCCAGGTGAGGCCCAGCTGGGCCAGGTGAGGCCCAGCTGGGCCAGGTGAGGCCCAGCTGGGCCAGGTGAGGCCCAGCTGGGCCAGGTGAGGCCCAGCTGGGCCAGGTGAGCCCACGGGGGATGTCGCGACGCAGCCTCCACCCGGAGCGCGTGGTGAGCGCCACGCCACGACCGGAGTCGCTCTCGACGGGGTCTCAAACGGGCGCGGCCGGTGTTGTTGGCACTATTGTTGTCGTGATGATGGTTCATGGTTATTTAACCGCACGTTCCATGAAAGTGAAACAACAAACACTGGACGGACATAATGAGAGCGGCAAATGGAGTGGCGGCGCGCGTGGAGTTGAATAGCCCCGTGCGGGGGGCAGGGTCGGGGGAGCGGAGCTTGAGCCCCACAGCCCCCCCCCCCCCCATTTCAGACCTCCCCTCCTCCCAGTTTTCCTACTTTCCCAGAGTAGGTCGTCTCGTTATACATCGAGACACAGAGATTCATATAGACACACACACACTCGTAGACATACATAGAGACCCAGAGATATATAGATACTCAAAGAGATATCAGAGAAGCAGTGACCCATACACTCACAGACTAATAGAGATACATAGAGACCCATACAGACACATACAGACTCATAGAGATACATAGAGACCCATACAGACACATACAGACTCGTAGAGATGCATGGAGACCCATACAGACACAGACCCATACAGACACATACAGACTCATAGAGATACATAGAGACCCATACAGACACACAGACCCATACAGACTCATAGAGATACATAGAGACCCATATAGACACATACAGATTCATAGAGATACATAGAGACCCATACAGACACATACAGACTCGTAGAGATGCATGGAGACCCACACAGACTCGTAGAGATGCATGGAGAGAAGCCAATGGCCGTGCGACTGTGGCCATGCCCGCAGGAGGAGGAGCGTAGCCGCCCCGACACCAACTCCCTCACTGCTGCTGGAGGCCCTCGTCGCCGCGGCGAGCGGCGAGCGGAACTCGACTTGGCCTCGAGCTCCTGAACATCATCACGCTGTACTCTTTGGTTCTATTCGGTAAAGTCACGTAGGTAAAAAATTAAACAAAAATCACGACGTTTCGGCCACAACACAAGTGGCCTTCATCAGGTGAAGGGACCGGACTGTCCAGAGGACAGCGTTGGAGTGAAGACAGCCAAGCCCAGGTCGCGTCCTTTAAGCTGTGTGGGAGGAAACAAAAAACGCCTTGACAAAGGAATTAGCATAACAATGATGTACTGGACCGGCACGGGGCGGGGGGAGTTTACATAATGTTGGTGTGAAGGGAAATAAGCTGCTGTGAAAGTTTGGGATACCACTACTTGAATAAATATACTGTACCATTGAAAATTAGTTTAATGTTTGGTTTGATTTAGAACATCTTTCCAATGATTGCTTAATTTGAAACCATCCTCTCGGTTGAAATTATGTCTGTGTTTGTAAATCTGAATTGCCTCGTGGACAAATCTCTGATAAAAACCCGTGGGTTTGCAGAGAACCTTGGTATCGGAGAAAACTATATCGTGATCACCCACAGCGTTGTAACAGTGATCAGCTACGGCAGAAGAATTCGTTCTGCCGTGTTTCAAATCTGATTTGTGCTCGCCAATTCGGTCAGAGACATGTCGTTTTGTCTCCCCGATATAGCAATCACCACAGGTGCATCATCACGCTGCTGCTGATGATAATGATGCTGCTGCTGATGCTGCTGCTGCTGATGCTGCTGCTGATGCTGCTGATGATGATGCCACTGCTGCTGATGATGATGATGCTGCTGATGCTGATTATGCTGCTGCTGATGATGCTGCTGATGCTGCTGCTGCTGATTATGCTGATGATGATCCTGCTGATGATGATGATGCTGCTGCTGATGATGATGCTGCAGCTGCTGCTGATGATGCTGCTGCTGATGATGATGCTGCTGCTGATGATGCTGCTGATGATGATGCCGCTGCTGTCATGACGCTGGCGAGGAGAGCGGAGAAGCTCCGGGGAGGCTCCTCCTCGCCCCCCCGCCCCGGCCGCGTGGCCCCCCGAGGCCCGGGCCGGTGGCGCCCTCTGCTGGATGGAGCGAGAAGCGCGGAGATCGCGGAGATCGGCGCCGGTGACGAAGACGCTGGCGCGCGTTCCGGCATCATTCAACGGCGTGTCATTGAACAAAACATAAACAGACACTTGGCGACGTTTCGGGCCCTTGGCCCTTCTTTAGAGCACACACACGTACAGGGGTCAAAGTGATATGAAGAAGGGCCATTGCCCGAAACGTTTCCCATTACAATGCTATGTTTCCCTTTTCGGGTCACACACACGGCGTGATTGAGGAATGCGCTGCGTGGCTTTGTTGACTGCTTGTCCACCTCCTGCTAACGCAGCAGGGGCAGCAGCAGGGGCAGGGGCAGCAGCAGGGGCAACAGTAGGGGCAGGGGCAGCAGCTCCGGGTTGTTTGCCCGCCTGGTGCACGGGGCCGGGAGTTTGTCGCCTGCGGCCAGCCCAGCGCGAACTCCCCGCACTTCTGGAACCTCGTCTCGTCTCTCTCTCTCGAGACCCATAGACTCAACATACATAAACCTCCATAGACTCACACAGAGACTCAACATACATACACCTCCATGGACTCACACACATAGACTCAACATACATACACCTCCATAGACTCACACACATAGACTCAACATACATACACCTCCATAGACTCACACACACAGACTCAACATACATACAACCTCCATAGACTCACACAGAGACTCAACATACATACACCTCCATAGACTCACACACACACCTCCATAGACTCACACACAGACTCAACATACATACACCTCCATAGACTCACACACATAGACTCAACATACATACACCTCCATGGACTCACACAGACCCAACAAACATACACCTCTATAGACTCACACACACAGACTCAACATACATACACCTCCATAGACTCACACAGACTCAACATACATACACCTCCATAGACTCACACACAGACTCAACATACATACACCACCATAGACTCACACACACAGACTCAACATACATACACCTCCATAGACTCACACACATACTAAACATACATACACCTCCATAGACTCACACACAGACTCAACATACATACACCTCCATAGACTCACACACACAGACTCAACATACATACACCTCCATAGACTCACACACATAGACTCAACATACATACACCTCCATAGACTCACACACACAGACCCAATATACATGCACCTCCATAGACTCACACACAGACTCAACATACATACACATCCATAGACTCACACAGAGACTCAACATACATACACCTCCATAGACTCACACACAGACTCAACATACATACACCTCCATAGACTCACACCCACAGACTCAACATACATACACCTCCATAGACTCACACACATAGACTCAACATACATACACCTCCATAGACTCACACATAGACTCATCATACATACACCTCCATAGACTCACACATAGACTCAACAAACATATACCTCCATAGACTGACACACACAGACTCAACATACATACACCTCCATAGACTCACACACACAGACTCAACATACATACACCTCCATAGACTCACACAGACTCAACATACATACACCCCTATAGACTCACACACACAGACTCAACATACATACACCACCATAGACTCACACACACAGACTCAACATACATACACCTCCATAGACTCACTCCCATAGACTCAACATACAAACACCTCCATAGACTCACACACATAGACCTCCGGAGCCACTGGCTGGTGCAGATGATGAGCCTCACCCTGTACTCTAACTCGGGCACCGCAATGGTGAGAGTCGTCCTTGTTACCGCTATTCGCGTCGTCGACACCACCACCATCATCATCGGTCAGGATCTATCCACTGCTGCATGAAGGCCTCACCAAATCCTCAGTCACCTCTCACGCGGACCTGCGATGCAACAATTCGACCCGGCATCTGCGCGATTACCAAATTCGTGGCTCCATCTCCCCACTGGACGTGGTCTCTGGCGCGTTCTGTCTTTGGGCTGCCACTCCATCGTTAGTCTCGACCACCGGCCATCGCCCCTTCTAGTAAACATGATCCACTGCTGGATGAAAATAGGTGCGGTGATGTATCTAACCTGCGTGTGTCCCTCTCTGACCCTCAGTGGAATTCCCAACGCGCGCCTCTCCATGCGTTTTTGCGCATGTCCCAGTGTGTGTTTAGTCGTATTGGCAATGTTTATAATCAGGGTCCTCGTCTACAACAGCCGGCAGTTCACCGGAATTGGTTCACGCGAGCATGACTGCTGATGAGACACAGGTTGTCCAAACCGGTCCAAAAATGTGGCGTCTTAAGAGAAGATGCGAAGGTGTCCTATGGCTTTATTCAATTGTCGTGACTGCCAACGAGCGCATGCGTACGCCCTGTTCCATCGAGTTGGCCTTATAGGGGTGACGTGCGGCCACTCCCCTCCTCCTGCAGCCCTCCTCCCACACAACCCTCAACTCCCACCCTCCCGTTAAACCCAATACGGCTCTTTGCGAGCAGAGTTGCAGTCAAAACTTCTCGGCGCGGAGTCGACGGGAGCGAAGAGTCCTCAAGAAATCCACGACGCCGTCTCTCTCGCTCTGTCTCTACATTTGCGTCTGCTACTGTGTGCCTGTCTCTGTGTCTACCTATCTGACATTGCGTTTCTGCCTCTGGCCTCTCTGTGCGTCTCTCGGTGTCTCCGTCTCTCGGTGTCTCCTTCTCTCGGTGTCTCCGTCTCTCGGTGCTTCTCTCCCCGCTGCTGTCTCCCTGTCTCGTTGTCTCTCTGCGCCTTTTCGCTGCCTCTCAGAGTCTTTCGTTTTTAGTTTTTTTTGCCGCTCGTGTCTCTGGCTGCTCCTCGCCCCACCTCTCGGTGCTGTAGAGGAGTCTCCGTGCGATCCAGGTGAGTTCCAACGAGGTTTCGTTGGCCTCCCCCACCCGACACCCCCCTTGCCCCCGAGGAGGATCCGGTGGGGATCATCCACTGGGTTCCTGAATTCTCGGCTGTGCAGCGGCCGAATGGACCCCCGTCCCGGGCCCCTCGCGGGCCCACGCCACGCCTGCCTTGGCGAGACGGAGTCGCCGGGCCCTCAGTTGGCACCGAGCGCGTCGCGCCGCGTGGCTCGCGATCATCAAAGCCGCGCAAGACGCCGGCTCGAGTTCATTGGCGCAGTTTTACACGAAGAGCGCCGGCTCCGGCCAATTAGCGAGCCGCGCGCCCTACGGCCTGTCGTGCGCGCTAATTAGAGGGTCCACGTGGCCTGCCGTGCGCGCTAATTAGAGGGTCCACGTGGCCTGCCGTGCGCGCTAATTGTGGTACAACTGAGCACGGTCTCGCGCTAATGGTAATAATTAGGACCGCCTCGCGCGCCGACTCAAGGATGCTTGACGATTGGCTCGAACAATTGGCACAATGAGTGCCCGTGGCTCGGCGTGGAGAGGTGGGGGTGCGGGGTAGGGGGCACGCGCATCCTCCCGGTACCATCGCTGTGGTGGCACAAGTGCGTGTTTTGTGTGAACTCGGAAACCGCCTCTTACCTAAGAGTTAGCGCCGTGGCGGTGAAGCCCGATCGCGTGCGCGTGTGCGCAGTTGGCGCTACGCTACGTGCGAACCCGGCGGTCAGAGTTTGATTTCCGCTCATGGTCAACACCGGTTTTCTGAACCGAGTCCTGGGTCTCCCCTAAGTCGACTCAGCCTCAAATTAGTAGCTGGTACGCTGTGTAATGATCGCCACTAAGGAGACAAAGGCGGCCGGGCGTAGTGCCGGCCACCCACCCCCTCGTGTGCCGTTTTGTCATTCTTAAGTGACAGCACTTGCCCGAACAAACTGTAAGTCTAAACGGGGGGGGGGGGGGGGGGTCTTTGTATATGGGCGTGCGTATCAATATCTGCGTGTATCCGTGCGCCCCCTCAATTGCGCTCCAATCCCTCTTGCCCCCACCTCCTTCCCCGACGACTCCGAACCAGGCCGATCACCCCCTGCTGCTCGTTAGAGGGCATTCGAGAGGGCAGCTGGCAGCCATGTCCCCCAGCCTTGCCCAGGCGCACAGCAGGCGCTGGTGGATGGCCGTGAGCGCCGTGCTGGAGAATCTGCTGCTGAGCGCCGTGCTGCTGGGTTGGGGGTCCCTGCTCATCATGCTCAAGTCGGAGGGGTTCTACTCGCACCTGTGCAGCGACAGCCCAGGTGCGTGGGAGCCCAGGTGTATGGGGGTCCAGGGGCGTAGGGACCCAGGTGTGTGTGGGGTTCCAGGTGCGTGGAGACCCGACCCTGGCTGCCGGATCCCGTCTCTTCCTGTCCCAACCCGTGTGTCTCTTGTGTCCCCGTGTCCCCTCTTCACATACCACTGAACCACGGCCAGTGTGCTCCACACTTAAGCTCGGGCAAATGTTTGCTTTTCTAGCTGTGTGTCTCGCCCTGTCTCCGCGTCTCGCCGTGTCTCCGCGTCTCGCCGTGTCTCCGCGTCTCGCTGTCTCCGTGTCTCCCTGTGGCTCCGAGTCTCCCTGTGGCTCTTCTTGTACCTCGGTGTCTCGGAAGGAAACCATCTGTGAGAGGCGAGAGGCCATTCCGGGGTGCATGGTGATGCGAGAGAGAGGGCGGCATACTTCAGCGGAATCCGCCCCCACGCGCTCGCACACACGTGCGCTCACACACACGTGCGCTCACACACACGTGCACTCACACACACGTGCACTCACACACAATGCACACACCCCCAACAGAGGACACACCGACACGTGCACAAACACAGCGGACAGTCACGCACAGTAGACACACACAAGATCCCCCCCCCCCCCCCCCCCATATAGCATTAACAGACTGTTGGGGCAAGTGCTGTTAGCGAGCACCCTTGAAGCTCGGCACGGCACACGAGGGGGTGGGTGGTTATCACACACACGTGTACACACACACGTGTATACACACACACACGGGCGAGGTGGGGGCGGCGGGGGAGACCCCACCCCCTAACTTAGGGGGTGGAAACCTGCGGCTCTAGAGAGCCGCAGGCGTCTTCAGCTTTTGTTACCGAATTCGAGAAAAAAAACCTAAATTCTCGTCTTGTTATTTTGTTTGTCGACCTCTGCCCTGACTCGTCCAACGGCCCGAGAGTGACTCAAGTTCGAGTTCACCTCCATGACCTCGCCACCTCTTCGCCACCCCCCCACGGGAACCCTGGCAGGTTCTGCAAACACGAGGCCCTAACGCCTCCACTCGGAGACACGAGGAGGAGGAGGGGGGTGTTTGTTCTAGGGGGCGTCTAGTGACCTTCACGAGATCCAGCGCCACGTTCGATGTCACGACGCCCCCTCCCTCCCCCAGCCCCCCCCCTACTCTAGCCCCCCCTATGATGAGTGACCCCAGTGATGGTGAGTGACCCCAGTGATAGTGAGTGGCTCCAGTGATAGTGAGTGGCCCCAGTGATAGTGAGTGACCCCAGTGATGATGAGTTGCCCCAGTGATGGTGAGTGACCCCAGTGATGGTGATTGACCCTATTGATGGTGAGTGACCCCAATGATGGTGAGTGACCCCAATGATGGTGAGTGACCCCAGTGATAGTGAGTGACCCCAGTGATTGTGAGTGACCCGAGTGATAGTGAGTGACCCCAATGACGGTGAGTGACCCCAGTGACGGTGAGTGACCCCAGTGATGATGAGTGACCCAGTGATGGTGAGTGACCCCAGTGATGGTGAGTGACCCCAGTGATGGTGAGCGACCCCAGTGATGGTGAGTGACCCCAGTGATGATGAGTGACTCCAGTGATGGTGAGTGGCCCCAGTAATGGTGAGTGACCCCAGTGATGGTGAGTGACTCCCGTGATGGTGAGTGGCCCCAGTGATGGTGAGTGACCCCAGTGATGGTGAGTGGCCCCAGTAATGGTGAGTGACCCCAGTGATGGTGAGTGACTCCCGTGATGGTGAGTGGCCCCAGTGATGGTGAGTGACCCCAGTGATGGTGAGTGGCCCCAGTGATGGTGAGTGACCCCAGTGATGGTGAGTGACCCCAGTGATGATAAGTGACCCCAGTGACGGTGAGTGACCCCAGTGATGGTGAGTGATCCCAGTGATGGTGAGTGATCCCAGTGATGGTGAGTGACCCAAGTGATGGTGAGTGGCCCCAGTGATGGTGAGTGACCCCAGTGATGGTGAGTGGCCCCAGTGATGGTGAGTGACCCCAGTGATGGTGAGTGACCCCAGTGATGATAAGTGACCCCAGTGACGGTGAGTGACCCCAGTGATGGTGAGTGATCCCAGTGATGGTGAGTGATCCCAGTGATGGTGAGTGACCCAAGTGATGGTGAGTGACCCAGTGATGGTGAGTGACCCCAGTGATGGTGAGTGACCCCAGTGACGGTGAGTGACCCCAGTGATTGTGAGTGACCCCAGTGATGGTGAGTGACCCCAGTGATTGTGAGTGGCCCCCGTGATGGTGAGTGACCCAGTGACGGTGAGTGACCCCAGTGATGGTGAGTGATCCCAGTGATGGTGAGTGATCCCAGTGATTGTGAGTGACCCCAGTGATGGTGAGTGACCCCAGTGATTGTGAGTGACCCCAGTGATGATGAGTGACTCCAGTGATGGTGAGTGGCCCCAGTAATGGTGAGTGACCCCAGTGATGGTGAGTGACTCCCGTGATGGTGAGTGGCCCCAGTGATGGTGAGTGACCCCAGTGATGGTGAGTGGCCCCAGTAATGGTGAGTGACCCCAGTGATGGTGAGTGACTCCCGTGATGGTGAGTGGCCCCAGTGATGGTGAGTGACCCCAGTGATGGTGAGTGGCCCCAGTGATGGTGAGTGACCCCAGTGATGGTGAGTGACCCCAGTGATGATAAGTGACCCCAGTGACGGTGAGTGACCCCAGTGATGGTGAGTGATCCCAGTGATGGTGAGTGATCCCAGTGATGGTGAGTGACCCAAGTGATGGTGAGTGGCCCCAGTGATGGTGAGTGACCCCAGTGATGGTGAGTGGCCCCAGTGATGGTGAGTGACCCCAGTGATGGTGAGTGACCCCAGTGATGATAAGTGACCCCAGTGACGGTGAGTGACCCCAGTGATGGTGAGTGATCCCAGTGATGGTGAGTGATCCCAGTGATGGTGAGTGACCCAAGTGATGGTGAGTGACCCAGTGATGGTGAGTGACCCCAGTGATGGTGAGTGACCCCAGTGACGGTGAGTGACCCCAGTGATTGTGAGTGACCCCAGTGATGGTGAGTGACCCCAGTGATTGTGAGTGGCCCCCGTGATGGTGAGTGACCCAGTGACGGTGAGTGACCCCAGTGATGGTGAGTGATCCCAGTGATGGTGAGTGATCCCAGTGATTGTGAGTGACCCCAGTGATGGTGAGTGACCCCAGTGATTGTGAGTGACCCCAGTGATGGTGAGTGACCCCAGTGATGATGAGTGGCCCCCCTGATGGTGAGTGACCCCAGTGACGGTGAGTGACCCCAGTGATGGTGAGTGACCCCAGTGATGATGAGTGACCCCAGTGATAGTGAGTGACTCCAGTGATGGTGAGTGACTCCCGTGATGGTGAGTGACCCCAGTGATGGTGAGTGACCCCAGTGATGCTGAGTGGCCCCAGTGATGGAGAGTGACCCCAGTGATGTTGAGTGGTCCCAGTGATGGTGAGTGACCCCAGTGATGATGAGTGCCCCAGTGATAGTCAATGATGGTGAGTGATCCCAATGATGATGAGTAATCCCAATGATGATGAGTGACCCCAGTGATGGTGAGTGGCCCCAGTGATGGTGAGTGACCCCAGTGATGGTGAGTGGTCCCCGTGATGGTGAGTGACCCAGTGATGGTGAGTGGTCCCCGTGATGGTGAGTGACCCCAGTGATGGTGAGTGACCCCAGTGATGGTGAGTGACCCCAGTCCACTTGACGTGCTTGGTGCAGCAAGACTGCACCGTACAGCCCCCCCCCCCCAAGACAAAGGAGCCCCCCCCCCTACCGCAACTCTACGAGTCAGGATCAACCCCCCCCCCCCCCCACTTGCAACCTCTCCCTGTGAGCTATGAGCTAATGTTTCCCTGGCCCCCCCATCCTCCCCTGCCCGCCCCCCACTCGCACCCCCTGTATAAACGCATCTTCCCAAGGGCCGAAACCGCAACAGCGCCCCCCATCTCCGTCCCCCGGCCCGTCAAGCCTCTGCAAGACACAATGCCGCCCCCCACTCCCCTAACCCCCTGGGACAAGAGACAAAGACACAAAGACACAATGCTGGGCCCCGCCCTGACAGCCCCTCCCCCTCAAGGCGGACTACGTGACGAGTAGGAGAGGTCACCTTAAACACCCCACACTCACCAGCACGCACCACTCACCAGCACGCCACACTCACCAGCACCCCACACTCACCAGCACGCCACACTCACCACCACACACACACAGACCCATATACTCACATAGAGACACACAGACTCACATCGAGACACACTCACATAGAGACACACACTCACATAGAGACAAACAGACTCACATCGAGACACACAGACTCACACAGAGACCCATAGACTCACACAGAGCCTCACAAACTCACACAGAGACACACAGACTCACACAGAGACCCATAGACTCACACAGAGACACACAGACTCACACAGAGACCCACAGACTCACACAGAGACCCATAGACTCACACAGAGTCTCACAAACTCACACAGAGACACACAGACTCACACAGAGACCCACGGACTCACACAGAGACCCATAGACTCACACAGAGACCCATAGACTCACACAGAGACACACAGACTCACATAAAGACCCACAGACTCACACAGAGACCCATAGACTCACACAGAGACACACAGACTCACACAGAGACCCACAGACTCACACAGAGACCCACAGACTCACACAGAGACCCATAGACTCACACAGAGACCCATAGACTCACACAGAGACACACAGACTCACATAGAGACCCACAGACTCACACAGAGACCCACAGACTCACACAGAGACCCACAGACTCACACAGAGACACACAGACTCACATAGAGACACACAGACTCACACAGAGACCCATAGACTCACACAGAGCCTCACAGACTCACACAGAGACACAAGACTCACACAGAGACCCACAGACTCACACAGAGACCCATAGACTCACACAGAGCCTCACAGACTCACACAGAGACACAAGACTCACATAGAGACCCACAGACTCACACAGAGACCCACAGACTCACACAGAGACACACAGACTCACATAGACACACACAGACTCACACAGAGACCCATAGACTCACACAGAGCCTCACAGACTCACACAGAGACACAAGACTCACACAGAGACCCATAGACTCACACAGAGACACACAGACTCACATAGAGACCCACAGACTCACACAGAGACCCACAGACTCACACAGAGACACACAGACTCACATAGAGACACACAGACTCACACAGAGACCCATAGACTCACACAGAGCCTCACAGACTCACACAGAGACACAAGACTCATACAGAGACCCACAGACTTACACAGAGACCCATTGACTCACACAGAGACCCATAGACTCACACAGAGCCTCACAGACTCACACAGAGACACAAGACTCATACAGAGTCCCACAGACTCACACAGAGACACACAGACTCACACAGAGACCCATAGACTCACATAGAGACACACAGACTCACACAGAGACCCATAGACTCACACAGAGACCCACAGACTCACACAGAGACCCACAGACTCACACAGAGACCCACAGACTCACACAGAGACCCACAGACTCATTGTGGGTCAGGGCCTGGGCGCTCCCTCCCTTCCCCCTGGCCCACAATTCTACGAGGCAGCTCGCAGTGCTCCCCCACCCACTTCCTGTGCCACCCCGCGCAGTAGCTCAGCTCTTAAACCAATTAGTTTATATGTATTCATTAGTTTATGTATTAATTAGTTTATATGTATGCATTAGTTTATATGTATTCATTAGTTAATATGTATTCATTAGTTTAGATGTATTCATTAGTGACTTCATTTGTCGATTGATTGGGCAAAGCCAGCACTTGGCGGGACTCTTCGTGAGTCTTGAGACTGAGCGCGCCTCTCCTGCATGACGCGCGTGGGGACGGTGACCACCACCGAGACACTGCAGCCTCGGGCTCTCTTCAACCTTCGCTCGACGGCTTTGTTTGCATTTCTTAGCGAACCACAGCAACGCGTCCTCCTCGCCCTCGTCCTCCTCGCCCTCGTCGGCGGTGCTGGCCCTGCTGGCCGGGAACGCGAGCACGCCTCCTCCTCTTCCCCCACTCTCCGCGCACGCCCGGGGGTGGGCGGTGTGCCGCGAGCAGGACGAAGTCCTGAACCTCGCCTTCACCGTGGGCTCCTTCCTGCTCAGCGCCGTCACGCTGCCCCTAGGCATCGTCATGGACAGATACGGCCCGCGCAAGATTCGCCTCGTGGGCAGGTGAGGGTGTGGGCAGGTGAGGGTGTGAGCTGGCGAGCTAATACAGCTCAGTGGGCCTTATCAGGTAAAATAAAAAAAAACATTGTTTATATTCTTGGTTCTTTCGGTAAAGTCACGTAGAAGGGAAACAATAACATAATAAAAATATAAAACAATAAAATTATCACGACGTTTCGACTGCAACACAAGCAATCATCATCAGGTGTGAAAACCACTTTTTTCAAAATTTATTGCTGTGGTTTTCACACCTGATGATGATTGCTTGTGTTGCAGTCGAAACGTCGTGATAATTTTATTGTTTTATATATTTTTTATTTTATTGTTTCCCTTCTACGTGACTTTACCGAAAGAACCAAGAATATGAATCCCTGCAGTCACGAAAGCTTTAAATCAAAACATTGTTTAGTTTATAGTTCAGTTTAGCTTTGCACCCGGGACACCAGAGCAGAATCACGGCACCCGCTCCACCCCTCCGTAGACACTCGCAGTCCCGTAGCCCCGCCGTCGGGACTATGATGAATAAACAGCCCAGGAAATGTGGGCCCCGCTGGAGTTTTTTGGCAATCGACAAAGATCTCGTGAGCCCCCGGCAGAGAGCCAGCCCTGGGCGTGTGGCTGTGGGACGGGGTCACACAAGCGGCTGTGTTGCTGTAGTGCCCGGTATTGGTCACTCGCTACCCCCTCCCGCCCCCTCACCCCCCGCAGCTCAAGCTTCATGCTGTCGTGTCTTCTCATCGCGTATGGAGCGAGCAACCCCAAGAGTGAGTCCCCTGAAGCCACCACAACCCCACGGGGATTCATACCTGACCCCTGACCCCCAGGGCCCCCCATCCCCTGCCCAGACCACCGCGGTCGTGTCCTCGACCCCCGAACCCCGGAACCCATCCCCCGCTCCCCCCCCCTCACCCCCCCCCGTCACCGTGAGACCCATGCAAGCCCCGTGCTGGACCGGGTCGGCCCTCGCTCTGCTGCTGCCGCTGCTGCTGCGCGGCGTGCGGGTGGATCGGGATACAGCGATCGCGTCCCCCCAGCCAGGGGCACACACACAACTATACTTGTTAACAATTATAATTCTTATTAGTGTGTGCGCGTGTGTGCAATGATCCTCACCCGAATTTAACCCTAACCCGAGCTCCAAGTAGAGGCCACACCTCTAACCCAAGCGCTAAGTCTGACCTCTACGCCACATTCTAACCCCGACCCTGACTCTAACCTCCAGGCACAATCGTAATCCTGATGTTGGCGCTGACCCTGACCCCAGCCCTGACCCTGAGCCCAGCCCTGACCCCAGTCCTGACCCCAGCCTGATCCTGACGCTAGACCTGACCCCAGTCCTGACCCTGACCCCAGTCCTGACCCTGACCCCAGCCCTGACCCTGACCCCAGCCCTGACCCCAGTCCTGACCCTGACCCCAGTCCTGACCCTGTCTCCCCAGCTCTGTCCGTGCTCATCTTCGTGGCGCTGTCGCTGAACGGCTTTGGCGGGATGTGCATCGTCTTCTCCTCCCTCACGGTGCGTCGTCTCCAGCGGTTAGCGCGCTGCGACCCCACTTAGATCCCCGCTCACGGCCAACACCAGTGACGATTATCTGAACCGGTTTTGTTCCTCGCCTCGGTCGACTCAACGTCGCCCCAAGGGAGACATGGGCGGCTGGGCGTCTTGCTGACCACCAACCCCCTTGTGTGTCGTGGTGGCCTTAATAGGTGCTCGCTAGCGGCACTTTATCCCAACAGTCTGTTCAGGCTACACGGGGGATCTTTGTCTTTGGGGTGAGTGTAGTGTCTGTAGTGAGTTTGCAGTGGGTGAGGTGGTGTCACGCGCGCAGGTGAGGATGAGGTTTGAGGCAGCGCCACGAGAAGGGGTTGGGAGGTGGGCTGCGTGTAGGGGCTGTGTAGGGGCTGTGTAGGTGCTGTGTGTAGGTGCTGTGTGTAGGGGCTGTGTAGGGGCTGTGTAGGGGCTGTGTGTAGGGGCTGTGTGTAGGGGCTGTGTGTAGGGGCTGTGTAGGGGCTGTGTAGGGGCTGTGTGTAGGGGCTGTGTAGGGGCTGCGTGTAGGGGCTGTGTGTAGGGGCTGTGTGTAGGGGCTGTGTGTAGGGGCTGCGTGTAGGGGCTGTGTAGGGGCTGTGTGTAGGGGCTGTGTGTAGGGGCTGTGTAGGGGCTGTGTAGGGGCTGTGTGTAGGGGCTGTGTGTAGGGGCTGTGTAGGGGATGCGTGTAGGGGTTGTGTAGCGGCTGTGTGTAGGGGCTCCGTGTAGGGACTGCGTGTAGGGGCTGCGTGTAGGGGCTGCGTGTAGGGGCTGTGTAGGGGCTGTGTGTAGGGGCTGCGTGTAGGGGCTGTGTAGGGGCTGTGTGTAGGGGCTGTGTAGGGGCTGTGTGTAGGGGCTGTGTAGGGGATGCGTGTAGGGGCTGCGTGTAGGGGCTGTGTGTAGGGGCTGTGTGTAGGGGCTGTGTAGGGGCTGTGTGTAGGGGCTGTGTGTAGGGGCTGTGTAGGGGATGCGTGTAGGGGCTGTGTAGGGGCTGCGTGTAGGGGCTGCGTGTCGGGGCTGTGTAGGGGCTGTGTGTAGGGGCTGTGTAGGGGCTGCGTGTAGGGGCTGCGTGTAGGGGCTGCGTGTAGGGGCTGTGTGTAGGGGCTGCGTGTAGGGGCTGCGTGTCGGGGCTGTGTGTAGGGGCTGTGTGTAGGGGCTGTGTAGGGGATGCGTGTAGGGGTTGTGTAGGGGCTGTGTGTAGGGGCTCCGTGTAGGGGCTGCGTGTAGGGGCTGCGTGTAGGGGCTGCGTGTAGGGGCTGTGTAGGGGCTGTGTGTAGGGGCTGCTTGTAGGGGCTGTGTAGGGGCTGTGTGTAGGGGCTGTGTAGGGGCTGTGTGTAGGGGCTGTGTGTAGGGGCTGTGTAGGGGATGCGTGTAGGGGCTGCGTGTAGGGGCTGTGTGTAGGGGCTGTGTGTAGGGGCTGTGTAGGGGCTGTGTGTAGGGGCTGTGTGTAGGGGCTGTGTAGGGGATGCGTGTAGGGGCTGTGTAGGGGCTGCGTGTAGGGGCTGCGTGTCGGGGCTGTGTAGGGGCTGTGTGTAGGGGCTGTGTTGGGGCTGCGTGTAGGGGCTGCGTGTAGGGGCTGCGTGTAGGGGCTGTGTGTAGGGGCTGCGTGTAGGGGCTGCGTGTCGGGGCTGTGTGTAGGGGCTGCGTGTAGGGGCTGTGTGTAGGGGCTGTGTGTAGGGCTGCGTGTAGGGGCTGTGTGTAGGGGCTGTGTAGGGCTGCGTGTAGGAGCTGTGTGTAGGGGCTGTGTAGGGGCTGCGTGTAGGGGCTGTGTAGGGGCTGTGTGTAGGGGCTGCTTGTAGGGGCTGTGTAGGGGCTGTGTGTAGGGGCTGTGTAGGGGCTGTGTGTAGGGGCTGTGTGTAGGGGCTGTGTAGGGGCTGCGTGTAGGGGCTGTGTGTAGGGGCTGTGTGTAGGGGCTGTGTAGGGGCTGTGTGTAGGGGCTGTGTGTAGGGGCTGTGTAGGGGATGCGTGTAGGGGCTGTGTAGGGGCTGCGTGTAGGGGCTGCGTGTCGGGGCTGTGTAGGGGCTGTGTGTAGGGGCTGTGTAGGGGCTGCGTGTAGGGGCTGCGTGTAGGGGCTGCGTGTAGGGGCTGTGTGTAGGGGCTGCGTGTAGGGGCTGCGTGTCGGGGCTGTGTGTAGGGGCTGCGTGTAGGGGCTGTGTGTAGGGGCTGTGTGTAGGGCTGCGTGTAGGGGCTGTGTGTAGGGGCTGTGTAGGGCTGCGTGTAGGAGCTGTGTGTAGGGGCTGTGTAGGGGCTGCGTGTAGGGGCTGTGTAGGGGCTGCGTGTAGGGGCTGTGTAGGGGCTGTGTGTAGGGGCTGCGTGTAGGGGCTGCGTGTAGGGGCTGTGTGTAGGGGCTGCGTGTAGGGGCTGTGTAGGGGCTGCGTGTAGGGGCTGTGTAGGGGCTGTGTGTAGGGGCTGTGTGTAGGGGCTGCGTGTAGGGGCTGTGTGGGCAGCGCGGGGCCCCGGGTTGCATGGCCAGGTAAGAGGGGGGCGTTGCCGCGAGCCCAGCGGCGATTGGCGCTGGGTCGCCCCCCACACCCCCCTCGACCTCGCTCGACCCCCCCCCTCCGCTCGGCTATGCCCACACCGGGGCCCATGCCGTGATGCGCCCAACATGACGACAAAACAAAAATCAAAACAAGCGAAGGTGACCCCGCATGAACAAGCCTCACTCCACCACTCCAGCCCCCACCGCTCCTACCTGAGCAGGGTCACCTTACCAGTGCCCACAGTCCCAGGCAACCTCCACCACCCCCCCGTCCCCCACGCTGCCGCCGTGGTCACGGATTTGTCACCGTTGCGTGCGCACGAACACACGCGTGGCATGCGGGAACGTGGCGTGTGTCTATGTGCCTGTGTGTAGGGGTGCGTGTAGGTTAGAAACATTTAGGCTGGCCTGCCTACGATCCACCCTGGGTTTAACCAGGCTGGATTGTGTGAGTAGCTCACAAATCCTTGAAAGATCTGGGCAAAGTCATATCGGTGAGCTCCTCCGGCAGGCAAGACTGCGTTGGCTGGGTCATGTAGCCCGCATGCCCAGCCACCGCATGCCGAAACAGCTTTTGTTCGGCCGGATCGAGGCGGCAAGGGCTAGAGAAGAGATGGAGTGATGTTGTACAGGAGGACGTGGAGCTGAATGGACTTGCCGATGACTGGTACCAGCAGTGTCAAGATCGGCCTCTGTGGAGGAGGCTCGTGAAGGATGCTACTGGGCAGTTGGAGGCAGTCGCCCTCCAACAACAACGGAGGGCGGAGGAGCGACGCTCACAACAACGAGCGGAGCGCCGGGTGGCTAAAGCACAGCAGGTTGGCACAGTAGGGGACACAGGTGGTGCATCAGCCAGTCATCTCAGTCAGTCAATCCATGGCACTTGGGTCTGCCCCGTGACCCCCTGCCAGCGGGCGTTCGACACTTCACGTGGCCTCAAGGTGCACATAGCCTGGCACAAGCGTCGTGGTGACATCACCGCCACTTAGTGGCGAATGGCGGTGTTGTATGTATGTGTCTGTCTATGGCTCTGTGTGTACTGTATGTGTGTATGTATGTCTGTCTGTATGTGTCTGTCTATGGGTATGTGGCTCTGTGTATGTGTGTCTGTCTCTATGTGTGTATGTGTGTCTGTCTGTCTCTATGTGTGTATGTCTATGTGTATCTGTATGTCTGTATGTGTGTCTGTATGTGTGTCTGTGTGCTGCAGTAATGACGTGGGACAGTTGTTAAACGATCCTTGACCGTCTCCAAGCCGATTCGTGATCGCCCGTGACAAGGCAGCTATGGGCTGCAAAGACAAATATCCCCCGTATAGCCTGACCAGACTGGTGGGGCAAGTGCACAGCACACGAGGGGGTGGGTGTTCAGCACCACCCCCGGCCGCCTTTGTCTCCCCAGTGGCGATGTTTAAACACCGCACCAGGTACTTATTTGAGGCTGAGTCGACTTAGGGGAGGCCCAGGACCGGTTTTAAATGTTCGCCACTGTCGCCGGGTTCGTTGCGCGTCCTGAGTCGACCCCTGAAGCGTCACCTGGTTTGAAAGGAGGAGCGGTGGGGGGGGACAGGTAACGTGAAACAAACTCCCTCGGAATCCGCGGTGAGAGGCTCGAGGGGAAGGAGGGACGGCTCCGCTCGAGCCATGTGCACGAGGTGAGGTTGAACCGACAAGTCGCGACTTGACCCATTCAGAAGGGGCTGGTGAGGGGCTGGGGTGAGACCTTCCACAGGGAGCTGCCCCCACTGACGCTCCGGTGCTGCAGCTGCGTGTGAGTGGCGTAGCGGTTAGCGCACTGCGCTACGAACCCGGCGACCCGAGGTCGATTCCCGCTGACGGCCAACACCAGTGAAGATTAACGGCCTCCCCTACGTCGACCCAGCTCCAAATGAGTACCTGGTGCAGTTTGTAATCATCACCACTGGGGAAACAAAGGCGACCGGGAGTGGTGTTGGCCACCCACCCCCTCGTGTTCCGTGCCGGCCTTCATAGGTGCTCGCTAACAGCACTTGCCCCAACAACCTGTTAAAGCTAAAACGGGGGATCTTTGTCTCTGTCTTCGTATGTCTGCATACATGTGTAGAGTAGGAGTGAGTGACATCATGTCACGCTCGCCCTCTGGTACGATGACGTCACAGACGGTGACGTCATGCACAGGGGGCGGGGTGGTGACGTCATGTCCCCCTGGGGGATTTAAGCTGGAACCCGTCACAGGTTCAGGGTCGTCTGGAGAGTCCGGGAACGTGAAGGGTGAAAGTCGGGACCCGGGGTAGGGGGAAATTGGCACCAGGCTAGGGTAGCCTGTGGGTGTGCTAGGGAATCCCCAGTACCTTTCCCCTGGGGTGTGGAGTGTAGGCAGTGAGGGGACAGTACACGGAGTCGTGTGCGAAGAGAGGCGTGAGCCCCTACACGAAGATCTGCCTCCGAGTCATCATTTACGCCTCAACAACTGGCGTCAGAAGTGGACTTTTTCAAGGCGATGCTCTTGAAAAAGCGGAACCCACCTGTTGCGTCTTCCAACGCCACAGAGGCGGCGACCCGGGACCGGACGACCCCGGGCTCCGTGGCCCCGGTTATTGCGGCCACGGGTGGTGTGTCTCCGGCACCAGTGGAGGACATCGGGCGCGCTGGGGAGACGGCCGCCATTACAGGTCCTCCAGCGACCACGTGGCAGGCCGCCGCGGAGAAGCGGTCGGGAGCGGCCATTTTGGAGGTGCCACGTGGTGCGCAGCCTGCTGCCGAAGCAGCTGTGGCGCGGGAAGGAGCCGCGAGGAGAGGACGCCGTCGTCGCTGCGGGGGGCTGGCAGAGGAGACCCCTAGGGCATGCGGGGGCCGCGGTTGGGCCGCCATTTCGGCAGCTGGCCGGGACGCTGTTCCCGCCAAAACGCCGTTCCCACCGACGTCAACACCTGTGGAGGCGGAGCTCCACATGTTCGAGTGGCGCCCCGACTTCTGCTCGAGCGCGGGTGGCGGCTGCAGTCGCAAGAGGAGTCCGTGGTCGGTGTGCAAGATTCTTCGGGGCATCCCAGCACTCCACCCTGTCGTCCTCCGCTCGTTACAGCTTGTCAGAAGCCCCGCCAGTAATTCCACCAGCGGCGCCTCACCTGGCGGGTTGGCCGGCGGACTGGACACCTGCCAGCAGACCGCCGATTCTGACGCCGACTACGGGACGGAAGAGCCGGCCGGCGTCACGCACACGCTCGCGGGGCGTGCGGATATGGTGATGGCTAGTGGGGCCGTTTCTTCGTCCCCTGCCTTCGTCGGACACGTTCCGGTGTCCCGTGTGGGGAGTTGTCTTCCCATTCGGGTTGCCGGGCTCTGCTCTCGTAATGGTTGCAGCCGGGTCGGCTGATTTTTTTCACGGGGGGGGGGTGATGTAGAGTAGGAGTGAGTGACGTCATGTCATGCTCGCCCTCTGGTACGATGACGTCACGTATGGTGACGTCATGTACAGGGGCGGGACGGTGACGTCATGTACAGGGGCGGGACGGTGACGTCATGTCCCCCTGGGGGATTTAAGCTGGAACCCGTCACGGGTTCAGGGTCGTCTGGAGAGTCCGGGAACGTGAAGGGTGAAAGTCGGGACCAGGGTAGGGGAAATTGACACCAGGCTAGGGTAGCCTGTGGGTGTGCTGGGGAATCCCCAGTTCCCTTCCCCTGGGGGAGCGATGGGACCCCGGGGTAGGGGGAAATTGGCACCAGGCTAGGATAGCCTGTGAGTGTTGCAGGGAATCTCCAGTACCTTTCCCCTGGGGTGTGGAGTGTAGACAGTGAGGGGGCAGTACACGGAGTCGTGTGCGAAGAGAGGTCTTTAATAAAACAACTGGCGTGAGCCCTTAATGAACGTGGCGTGATCCCCTACACGAAGATCTGCCTCCGAGTCATCATTTACGCCTCAACACATGTAGCGTGGAGTGTGTACAAAGTTTGCATGAAATCAGCATTGTGGTGCACCTCCTCCTGGCTCTGACATGCCTCGTTCTCCAATACACCGGTGGCATCAGCAGTGCTGTGAGAACGTCAACACCATGGATGGAAAATGAGAGACACAGCCAGAGTCGTGCGACCCCAACTGTGACCCGTATAATAACACAAAGACTCCTAGAGACACACAGAGATGTTTAGAGATGCATTAAAGACGAGCCACAGGAGGAGTGCGATTGTGGCCATGCAACCCACATTGTGGATCACTGCAGTCTGCGCTGCTTCAATGGAGGAGTAGGAGCAGCGATGCGACACGAACTCTCTCTGCTGACGCCCTCTCGTCGTGCTCAGCAGCAGCAGGACCTCGACACTTGGCATCGAGCTCTTGAACCACTGCGCTGCTGCTGCTGCCATTTTTGGACTATGGCGATGTGTGCGTGCGTGCTGCTGTACCCGGTGTGTGATGACACGTGTCCCCTTCCCACCACAGCTGCCCAACTTGTTTGGGAACCTGCGCTCCACATTCATCGCGCTCATGGTGGGCTCCTACGCCTCGGCCGCCGTCACCTTCCCCGCGGTCAAGGTCAGCTTGGGGCAGTGAGTGGGGGCAAGGCGCCCCCACCCCCCTCCATGATGTCAACTACTCCCATAACTCTAGCAGCCATATCTAACGCTGACCACAACTTTATCGGTATTGTAAGTTCTAACCGTGATTTGAACCACACCTCTATACCTATAATTAACCCTATCACTAACCCTAATGCGATCACGATCATTCACCTTAGCCCTAATTATACACCCCATAGCCCTAAGCCAAACACTAACACGAAACTCACCACCCATTCACACGCTACCCCTACCCCCTAAATCCATCTCCCGGTCTCTTTTCCCTCTTGAGCGTGACTCACCTGCCCAGGTGACACAGCCCCCCCCCCCTCCGCCCCCCCCCCAGGTGCTGTATGACACGGGCGTGCCCTTTGTGTGGCTGCTGCTGGGCTGGGCACTGCTGGCGGTGCTGGTCTTCACCAACTGCTTCCTGCACTGGCCCCTGGAGCCGTTCCCCGCTCCGGAGGAGATGGACTACGCGTACGTGAATGACGCACTTGGTCACCCCACAGAGAGAAAGGCGTCGCCGAGTCTCGTGGTTATCTTTCTGGAGGGTCCTGCCACGTTATCACAGCAGCGGGGAGGGGGGGAGGGGCTATAATGATGTTGTACGGTACTCTGCACAACTTACTCAACATAGCGACGATCATCACCCCTTGCTGGCACCAGACATATGCCCCGGGGGCACTCTTGCCACTGAGACTCTCTCCTCGTTAAACTAAACCAACTTGAGTTGTCACCTGGTTAAAATAAACCAACTTGTGTTGTCTCCTGGTTAAACTAAACCAACTTGAGTTGTCACCTGGTTAAACTAAACCAACTTGTGTTGTCTCCTGGTTAAGCTAAACCAACTTGAGTTGTCACCTGGTTAAACTAAACCAACTTGTGATGTCACCTGGTTAAACTAAACCAATTTGTGATGTCACCTGGTTAAACTAAACCAACTTGTGATGTCACCTGGTTAAACTAAACCAACTTGTGATGTCACCTGGTTAAACTAAAACAACTTGTGATGTCACCTGGTTAAACTAAACTAACTTGTGTTGTCACTTGGTTAAACTAAACCAACTTGTGATGTCACCTGGTTAAACTAAACCAACTTGTGTTGTCACCTGGTTAAACTAAACCAACTTGTGATGTCACCTGGTTAAACTAAACCAACTTGTGTTGTCACCTGGTTAAACTAAACCAACTTGTGATGTCACCTGGTTAAACTAAACCAACTTGTGATGTCACCTGGTTAAACTAAACCAACTTGAGTTGTCACCTGGTTAAACTAAACCAACTTGAGTTGTCACCTGGTTAAACTAAACCAACTTGTGATGTCACCTGGTTAAACTAAACCAATTTGTGATGTCACCTGGTTAAACTAAACCAACTTGTGATGTCACCTGGTTAAACTAAACCAACTTGTGATGTCACCTGGTTAAACTAAACCAACTTGTGATGTCACCTGGTTAAACTAAACCAACTTGTGATGTCACCTGGTTAAACTAAACCAACTTGAGTTGTCACCTGGTTAAACTAAACCAACTTGTGTTGTCACTTGGTTAAACTAAACCAACTTGTGATGTCACCTGGTTAAACTAAACCAACTTGAGTTGTCACCTGGTTAAACTAAACCAACTTGTGATGTCACCTGGTTAAACTAAACCAACTTGTGATGTCACCTGGTTAAACTAAACCAACTTGTGATGTCACCTGGTTAAACTAAACCAACTTGTGTTGTCACTTGGTTAAACTAAACCAACTTGTGATGTCACCTGGTTAAACTAAACCAACTTGTGTTGTCACCTGGTTAAACTAAACCAACTTGTGATGTCACCTGGTTAAACTAAACCAACTTGAGTTGTCACCTGGTTAAACTTAACCAACTTGTGTTGTCACCTGGTTAAACTAAACCAACTTGTGATGTCACCTGGTTAAACTAAACCAACTTGTGATGTCACCTGGTTAAACTAAACCAACTTGAGTTGTCACCTGGTTAAACTAAACCAACTTGTGATGTCACCTGGTTAAACTAAACCAACTTGTGATGTCACCTGGTTAAACTAAACCAACTTGTGATGTCACCTGGTTAAACTAAACCAACTTGTGTTGTCACTTGGTTAAACTAAACCAACTTGTGATGTCACCTGGTTAAACTAAACCAACTTGTGATGTCACCTGGTTAAACTAAACCAACTTGTGTTGTCACCTGGTTAAACTAAACCAACTTGTGATGTCACGTGGTTAAACTAAACCAACTTGTGTTGTCACCTGGTTAAACTAAACCAAATTGTAATGTCACCTGGTTAAACTAAACCAACTTGTGATGTCACGTGGCTAAACTAAATCAACTTGTGATGTCACCTGGTTAAACTAAACCAACTATGGTTGTCACCTGGTTAAACTAAACCAACTTGTGTTGTCACCTGGTTAAACTAAACCAACTAGTGATGTCACCTGGTTAAACTAAACCAACTTGTGTTGTCACCTGGTTAAACTAAACCAACTTGTGATGTCACCTGGTTAAACTAAACCAACTTGTGATGTCACCTTGTTAAACTAAACCAACTTGTGATGTCACCTGGTTACACTAAACCAACTTGTGATGTCACCTGGTTAAACTAAACCAACTTGTGATGTCACCTTGTTAAACTAAACCAACTTGTGATGTCACCTGGTTAAACTAAACCAACTTGTAATGTCACCTGGTTAAACTAAACCAACTTGTGTTGTCACCTGGTTAAACTAAACCAACTTGTGATGTCACCTGGTTAAACTAAACCAACTTGTGATGTCACCTGGTTAAACTAAACCAACTTGTGTTGTCACTTGGTTAAACTAAACCAACTTGTGATGTCACCTGGTTAAACTAAACCAACTTGTGATGTCACCTGGTTAAACTAAACCAACTTGTGTTGTCACCTGGTTAAACTAAACCAACTTGTGATGTCACGTGGTTAAACTAAACCAACTTGTGTTGTCACCTGGTTAAACTAAACCAAATTGTAATGTCACCTGGTTAAACTAAACCAACTTGTGATGTCACGTGGCTAAACTAAATCAACTTGTGATGTCACCTGGTTAAACTAAACCAACTATGGTTGTCACCTGGTTAAACTAAACCAACTTGTGTTGTCACCTGGTTAAACTAAACCAACTAGTGATGTCACCTGGTTAAACTAAACCAACTTGTGTTGTCACCTGGTTAAACTAAACCAACTTGTGATGTCACCTGGTTAAACTAAACCAACTTGTGATGTCACCTTGTTAAACTAAACCAACTTGTGATGTCACCTGGTTACACTAAACCAACTTGTGATGTCACCTGGTTAAACTAAACCAACTTGTGATGTCACCTTGTTAAACTAAACCAACTTGTGATGTCACCTGGTTAAACTAAACCAACTTGTGATGTCACCTGGTTAAACTAAACCAACTTGTGTTGTCACCTGGTTAAACTAAACCAACTTGTGTTCTCACCTTGTTAAACTAAACCAAATTGTGTTCTCACCTGGTTACACTAAACCAACTTGTGTTGTCACCTGGTTAAACTAAACCAACTTGTGATGTCACCTGGTTAAACTAAACCAACTTGAGTTGTCACCTGGTTAAACTAAACCAACTTGTGATGTCACCTGGTTAAACTAAACCAACTTGTGTTTTCACCTGGTTAAACTAAACCAACTTGTGTTGTCACCTGGTTAAACTAAACCAACTTGTGATGTCACCTGGTTAAACTAAACCAACTTGTGATGTCACCTGGTTAAACTAAACCAACTTGTGATGTCACCTGGTTAAACTAAACCGACTTGAGTTGTCACCTGGTTAAACTAAACCAACTTGAGTTGTCACCTGGTTAAACTAAACCAACTTGTGATGTCACCTGGTTACACTAAACCAACTTGTGATGTCACCTGGTTAAACTAAACCAACTTGAGTTGTCACCTGGTTAAACTAAACCAACTTGAGTTGTCACCTGGTTAAACTAAACCAACTTGTGTTGTCACCTGGTTAAACTAAACCAACTTGAGTTCTCACCTGGTTAAACTAAACCAACTACTCTAGATTCTAATGGAGGAAATCGCGGAAATTTGTTTTAATTTAAGCAAATTTGGACCGTCATGCCGACACACAATGGCCCACCCCTACTATGCCCCATTCCCACTACACCCCACTCCCACTACACCCCACTCCCACTACACCCCACTCTCACTACGCCCTCAGTGTTATTCGGGGCGGCTGCTGGATTCGAACCGTGAACCTCTGCAAGCGAGGAGCGCGCGTCAGGGTCCACATCCGGGCTACGCATAGCGATCACTGCCACCCACTCCCAAAACCAACACTGGGCCATGCCCTCCTGACAAAGAGCCCTGAGACTCGGCGAGGTTCTCGTGGGTGAGCACGCGGGGTGTGAACGGTGAATCGCCGTCTGACATTTGCCCACGTCGGTGGCGCCAACGTCAGCTGCGGCCCAGGCACCGCGGTCTACGACTCCCAACTGTGGTCACGAACAGTCAACGTTGAACATCTGCAAGCGTTCACTGCGTCGGCAGGAAGCCAATTATGGGTCAAGGTTCGGGTTATCGAGTTGGGGAGAGGCGGTGTTGTGTGGGTGGGGGAGGGCTCTGCATCCACAGCCTCTCTGGATCGAGTCCCCCTGTGAGTCGAGTCTACGAGTCGACTCAATGTAAGCCCGAGGTCTCCGTGCTGTGTTTGTATCCCTCCGCGGGCCCCGCGCGCCAGGCTGAGGATGAAGCTCTCGTGGCTGGGCCTCGACCACAGGGTGACTGGACCCCGCTTCTCCTCCTACCTCTCCTCTGTGGGCCAGCGCCTGAGCACGACCCCCGGGGCAGACGCAACAACCAAGGGCCGGGTGGAGGGTTACCTGGGGGCCCCCAACGCGCCCGCTGGCAACGGTACGTGGGCAGCGCTGAGGTTGGGGGGACGGAGGGATGGGGAGGAGGAGGGATGGGAGGAGGGATGGGAGGAGGAGGGATGGAAGGAGGAGGGATGGGAGAAGGGATGGGGAAAAGGAAGGATGGGGTGGAGGAGGGATGGGGTGGAGGAGGGATGGGAGGAGGAGGGATGGGGTGGAGGAGGGATGGGAAGAGGAGGGATGGGGAGGAGTAGGGATGGAAGGAGGAGGGATGGGAGGAGGGATGGGGAAAAGGAAGGATGGGGTGGAGGAGGGATGGGGTGGAGGAGGGATGGGGTGGAGGAGGGATGGGGTGGAGGAGGGATGGGGTGGAGGAGGGATGGGGAGGGATGGGGAGGAGGAGGGATGGGGAGGAGGAGGGATGGGGAAAAGGAGGGATGGGAGGAGGAGGGATGGGGAGGAGGAGGGATGGGGAGGAGGGATGGGAGGAGGAAGGTTGGGGAGGAGGAGGGATGGGAGGAGGGATGGGGAGGAGGAGGGTTGGGGAGGAGAAGGGATGGGAGGAGTAGGGATGGAAGGAGGAGGGATGGGAGGAAGGATGGGGAAAAGGAGGGATGGGGAAGAGGAGGGATGGGAGGAGGAGGGATGGGGAAAAGGAGGGATGGGGAGGAGGAGGGATGGGAGGAGGAGGGATGGGAGGAGGAGGGATGGGAGGAGGAGGGATGGGGAGGAGGAGGGATGGGGAGGAGGGATGGGAGGAGGAGGGATGGGGAGGAGGACGGATGAGGAGGAGGGTTGGGGAGGAGGGATGCGGTGGGGAATTCATTTCAGCCGGGTCCGCCCGGGTCGTTGAGCCGACGAATATGTCCTCACCCGACAACACCACGTCCAGTGTACATCTCGCTGTGGCTGTGTGGCTACGAGACTCTCAGGCAAGTGCCACGTCCTCCTCCCGTGTGCAAGCGCCCCGCCGGAAAGCATTCGGTGAGGAATTAAAGCTGCGTTTGGAACTATCGCACGTGGCCTTAGAAGCACCCGTTTCGTGGTATGAGAGGGCAACTGAGAAAGGGCAGCGGACCGAAACGTCGGGCGTTTCTCAGCGGGACCATGTCCTTGCAGATTTCTGCGTTGCATAACGTCGCAGCCCCGTGTGTCACAACGCGCGCGCTGATAGCAGCAGCAATAGCAGCTGCAGCAATAGCAGCTGCCGCAGTAGCTGCAGCATCAGCTGCCACTCCTTGCCAGCGGCTGCGTCAAGGTCACGTCGGGAGGACACCGCGGGTGACTCTGCCGTGACGTCCGTCACGGGGTTCGGTGGGGGCTCACGGGGTCCTGTCCACCCCCGCCGTCCTCTTTGCTGATCCATGACCCTCGCTACCCTGGAGCCACACCCCCTCCCTGACCTCGTTATCTCTCGGTCCCCTCCAAACCTGGACGCCCTTACCCCCGTGCCCCCCTCTGTACCCTCGACCCCCGACCTCCGCGCCCCGTAGGGCCGCCGCTGCTGCCGCCGCCGCCCTTCACGCGCAGCGTGTGCACGCCCATCCTGCTCTGGAGCCTGGTCACCATGTCCGTCACGCAGCTGCGACTCATCTTCTACCTGGGCGCCATGAACTCCATGCTCGAGTTCCTGGCCGAGGGCGACGATCCTGGGGCAGGTGCCGGGTGCACGCCACACGAGCCCCGTACAGTACTAGCCATATAGCACTAGCCATATAGCACTAGCCATATAACACTAGCCATATAGCATTAGCCATATAGCATTAGCCATATAGCACTAGCCATATAGCACTAGCCATATAACACTAGCCATATAGCACTAGCCATATAGCATTAGCCATATAGCACTAGCCATATAGCACTAGCCATATAGCATTAGCCATATAGCACTAGCCATATAGCATTAGCCATGCAGCACTAGCCATACAGCACTAGCCATATAGCACTAGCCATATAGCACTAGCCATATAGCATTAGCCATATAGCATTAGCCATATAGCACTAGCCATATAGCATTAGCCATATAGCACTAGCCATATAGCATTAGCCATATAGCACTAGCCATATAGCATTAGCCATACAGCACTAGCCAAATAGCATTAGCCATACAGCACTAGCCATACAGCACTAGCCATATAGCACTAGCCATACAGCATTAGCCATATAGCATTAGCCATACAGCACTAGCCATATAGCATTAGCCATATAGCATTAGCCATACAGCACTAGCCATATAGCATTAGCCATATAGCATTAGCCATACAGCACTAGCCATATAGCACTCGCCATATAGCACTAGCCATATAGCACTAGCCATATAGCACTAGCCATATAGCACTAGCCATATAGCATTAGCCATATAGCACTAGTCATATAGCACTAGCCATATAGCACTAGCCATATAGCATTAGCCATATAGCATTAGCCATATAGCATTAGCCATATAGCACTAGCCATATAGCATTAGCCATATAGCACTAGCCATATAGCATTAGCCATATAGCACTAGCCATATAGCATTAGCCATACAGCACTAGCCATATAGCATTAGCCATACAGCACTAGCCATATAGCACTAGCCATATAGCATTAGCCATATAGCACTAGCCATATAGCACTAGCCATATAGCATTAGCCATATAGCACTAGCCATATAGCATTAGCCAAATAGCATTAGCCATACAGCACTAGCCATACAGCACTAGCCATATAGCACTAGCCATACAGCATTAGCCATATAGCATTAGCCATATAGCATTAGCCATATAGCACTCGCCATACAGCACTAGACATAGAGCACTCGTCCTATATATGCAGCAGTAGCCATTCCACTACGGCAATTGTGTGTGCGTATCAATTGTATGTTTGTGTCTCTGTGTGCATGTGTGTCTGTGTGCGCGTGTCTCTGTGTGCATGTGTGCATGTGTGTCTGTATGCACGTGTCTCTGTGTGCGCGTGTGTCTGTGTGCATGTGTGTCTGTGTGCACGTTTCTCTGTGTGCATGTGTCTGTGTGCGCGTGTCTCTGTGTGCATGTGTCTCTGTGTGCGCGTGTCTCTGTGTGCATGTGTGTCTGTGTGCATGTGTGTCTGTGTGCACGTGTCTCTGTGTGCATGTGTGTCTGTGTGCGCGTGTCTCTGTGTGCATGTGTGTCTGTGTGTGCGTGTCTCTGTGTGCATGTGTGTCTGTGTGCGCGTGTCTCTGTGTGGGCGCTGGTTTCCGTGCCGTCTCCTCGATGGCAACCCACACGACCCCGCCAGCAGTGATGAACACGGGTGAGTGTGGGGTGGGTGATGGTGGGTGAGTGTGGGTGAGTGTGGGATGTGTGTGGGTGAGTGTGGGTGATTGTGGGTGGGTGTGGGGTGAGTGTGGGTGGGTGTGGGGTGAGTGTGCGTGAGTGTGGGTGGGTGTGGGTGAGTGTGGGTGAGTGTGAGTGGGTGTGGGGTGTGTGTGGGGTGTGTGTGGGTGAGTGTGGGTGGGTGTGGGTGAGTGTGAGGTGTGTGTAGGTAAGTGTGGGTGAGTGTGGGTGGGTGTGGGGTGAGTGTGGGTGGGTGTGGGGTGGGTGTGGGGTGAGTGTGGGTGAGTGTGGGTGAGTGTGGGGTGTGTGTGGGGTGTGTGTGGGTGAACGTACAATTGGGTGAGTGTACACATGGGTGGGCATGGGTGAGAGTTAGACAAGGAGTTGGCGTCTGAGTTTGGGTGAGTAGGGGTGAGCGTGCGGTGAGGAGTGCGGTGAGGAGTGTGGTGAGTAAGTGTGGTGAGTAAGCGGTTTCCTCTGGTTGGTGTCGCGGTCCGTCAATTGTTCGATTGTTCAAAGCCGCTCGCGTAAACAGCAGCCGCCTGGACGCGTCCCAGCGTCTCGCTCTCCGCACGCGCCCGCAAGCACAGACCAATATCCCCCGGGTAACCTACACAGCCTAGTGGGGCAAGTGCTCTTAGCGGGCACCTATACATTCCGGAAATGAATGTATAGGTGACAAGCACCACGCCCGAACACGCCTTTGTCTCCCCAGTGCTGATGTTTCACACACACTGCTACATACTGATTTAAGGCTGAGTCGAACTAGGAGGGGCCCGCAACCGGTTAAAATAAAGCACTGTTATTGGTCGTGAGCGTGAATCGAACTCGGGTCGCCGGGCTTGAAGCGCAGCGCGCTAACCACTGCGCCACCGCCCCCTCCACAAAGATCCCCCGTATAGCCTTAACAGACTGTTAGGGCAAGTGCTGTTAGCGAGCACCTCCACACGAGGGGGTGGGTGGCCACCTCCACGCACGACCGCCTTTGTCTCCCCAGTGGCGATGTTTACACAATGCTACACCAGATACTCATTTGAGGCTGAGTCGACCTAGGGGAGTTAGCGCGCTAACTGCTGCACTACCGCTCCCCACACACTGACACACAAACACACTGAAACACGCACTGACACACACTGACACACACACTGACACACACACTGACACACACACACGCACTGACACACAGGCACGCATTGACACACACACTGACACACACTGACACACACACACGCACTGACACACGGACACGCACTGACACACACACTGACACAACAACAACAACAACAACCGCCATTCGCCACTAAGTGGCGGTGACGTCACCACGACGCTTGTGCCAGGCTATGTGCACCCTGAGGCCACGTGAAGTGTCGAACGCCCGCTGGCAGGAGGTCACGGGGCAGACCCAGGTGCCACGGGTCGACTGACTGAGATGACTGGCTGATGCACCACCTGTGCCCCCTACTGTGCCAACCTGCTGTGCTTTAGCCACCCGGCGCTCCGCTCGCTGTTGTGAGCGTCGCTCCTCCGCCCTCCGTTGTTGTTGGAGGGCGACTGCCTCCAACTGCCCAGTAGCATCCTTCACGAGCCTCCTCCACAGAGGCCGATCTTGACACCGCTGGTACCAGTCATCGGCAAGTCCACTCAGCTCCACGTCCTCCTGTACCACATCACTCCATCTCTTCTCTAGCCCGTGCCGCGCCCGCTTAGCCCCCTCAATCCGGCCAAACAAAAGCTGTTTCGGCATGCGGTGGCTGGGCATGCGGGCTACATGACCCAGCCATCGCAGCCTTGCCTGCCGGAGGAGCTCACCGATGGGACCCTGCCCAGATCTTTCAAGGATTTGTGAGCTCCTCACACAATCCAGTCTGGTTAAACCCAGGATGGATCGTAGGCAGGCCAGCCTAAATGTTTCTAACCGGCGAAGATGTTCCATTAGGGGGGTCCACGTTTCGCAAGCGTAGAGAAGGGAGGGAATGACCGTGGCCGAGAAGACCTGAAGTTTAGTGCGGAGCGACAGACCAGGTAGCTTCCACACAGCATTACGCAACCGATGAAAAGATATTGCCGCTCGACTGATTCGGAGTGAGACCTCTGCTGTTAAACTGGAGCCAGTCATAAGCACACTGCCCAGGTATGGGAAACTCTCCACTCTCTCCACAACTGCCCCATCACCGATTGGGAGTTGTGGGGGTGGAGTGTCCGATGGTACAAAATACCCAGGCAGGTGCTTAGTTTTGGTGGGGCTGATGGTAAGGCCCCACCTCTTAGTGGCACGCTCCAGTCTCAGCAGCAGCGTCTCCAACTCCTCCTCTGACTGAGCAGCTATTACCAAGTCATCAGCATACATAACGTGGTTGAGCAATAGGGAGCCATCCCTTGACCGCACCCGGGCATCGATTAGCCTCCCATTATATCTGTACCATATGGAGATTCCCCCGGTACAGCTATTGAAGGCTTCACGAACTACGTGGTCAAAATAGATGTTAAATAATGTGGGAGCCAGAGGACATCCCTGTCGCACCCCAAGGTGTACAGGGAATGGCTCTGACTCCCGGCCACGTAGTTTTACCCGGGCCCGCTCACCATCATGAAGGTCCTTAATGATCGTGAGCAGAGGGTCAGGTACTCCAAAAGCACGAAGAACGACCCAGAGCCCAGGCCTACTGATGGTATCATAGGCCTTGACCAGGTCAATAAAGCAGAGATGTAGGTCTTGTTGGAATTCCCTACACCTCTGCTGTAGCAGACGGACAGAAAATATGGCATCTGTGCAGGACCGCCCTTTCCTGAAACCACATTGGGGCTCCGCAAGCCTCTCCTCAGCGTGCCTGGCAAGGCGATGCTGAATAATCCTTGCCAGGACCTTTCCCGGCACACTGAGGAGTGAGATGCCCCTGTAGTTGTTACAGTCTGTGCGGTCCCCCTTCTTAAAAAGGGGGACCACCAGGGCATCCTTCCAATCCTGCGGAACCCGTCCAGTGGTCCAGACTGTTGTTATGATGTCATATAGGGCAGTCTGTGCACAAACGCCACCCTCCCTCAGCATTTCGCTTGGGAGATCATCTCTGCCCGCTGCCTTTCCTGGTCTCAGACTCCGTATCGCCTTCAATACTTCCTCAGCAGATGGCACCTCAGCCAGCCACTCACAGGGGGTGACTTCATCCAATATTTGAGGCACCGCAGCCTCAGCAGGGTCATCCTCACTTTGTGCCACGATGTTTTCCTGGCTGAGGGATTTTCCCTCCCCCAGGACCTCACAGAAATGCTCAGCAAATCTGCGAACCTGTTCCTGGGGGTCGGAAATTGGATCACCGTTTTTTCCCCTAATGATGGTAATAGGTGTGGCGCTGCAGGTTACTTTTTTGATGGAGTTAAATAGAGATTTGTGATCACGGGCCACTGAGGCAGACTCCATCTCCTCAGCAACCCGCGACCACCACCCATCCTTGCAGCGCCTCACGGCTCTCCGAACCTCCGAGCGAAGGCTGCGGTAAGCCTCCTCATTCTCTGACGTGGGATTCTGTAGCCGATGACAGTGGGCCTGTCGCTTTTTCTCAACCATCGTGAACAACTCCTCTGTCATCCAGGGTGTCTGGGGAGGTCTGGACCGCGTACCCAAAGCAGCCATTGCAGCTGCATGAGTCACAGTCCTAAACCTCGCCCATTTACCCTCGACATCAGGAGGAGTCGGGGACGATACCAATCCCAGCCGCAAGCGATGATGAAATTCTCGCTTGCAACTTTCATCAGATAACTGAGACCAGGCCACTTTAGGTTGGAATGGGGTCCTGGGTGTACACCCACCACCGGAGTGGAAGAATGGCCGGCGCATCTTACAGATGACTAGTCGATGGTCAGAGGGCAGATCAGCTCCACGGTAGGTCCTGGTGTCAAGGACATGGGCTCGCATTCGCTGGTCCGTCACTATGTAGTCCAGCAGATGTTCTTGCTTGGACCCGGCATGCATCCATGATGTTGTGTGGATGCGCCGATGCCGGAACAGCGTGTTGGTAATTACAAGCCCATGGGCTGCACAAAAATCTAGCAGCCTCCTACCGTTGTTATTGAGCTGATCTGGCCCATGCCCTCCAATCACTCCAGACCAGGTGCCAGTATCATGACCAACTCGGGCATTGAAGTCACCCAACATGATGACTCTATCCCGAGGGGCCACTTTAGCCAGCACCTGTGACAGGAGGTCATAGAAGGCATCTGACTCATCGGCTTTGCCTGCATCCCTCCACGGATGTTCATCTTCGGTGGGGGCATAAGTAACCACGACCACCATTCCTCGCCTCCGGTTGATGGGAAGGCGAGCCCAAAGTAGCCTGGGGCTTACAGCTTCCCACACCTCACCGCCACGCTCCCACGCCCCCTTCATTCTTTTGTTCAAAAGAAGACCCACACCCTGTTGTTTGGCGGTCTGCTGCCCCGAGTAGAGGACTGTCCACCCCTCATGGTGGCAGGAGCCAGAGCCGGTCCACCGGACCTCCTGAATGCCGCATAGATCCAGGCGGTACCGGTCCAGCTCCCGACAGAGGAGTGGCAGCCTCTCCTCTGCAGTGAGCGTTCGAACATTCCACGTGGCCAACCGTAGTGGCTTTTCGTTGTTTCTGGAGTAGCCCCGAGGGTAGGTATTCAATCTCCTGGCTCCGCCAATTGGGGTTTGGCCAGGAGACGTCATAGACGCCTGGCCCCCCGGGGCCTCCGGCACAAGCTTAGTTGTTACATATTTCAGTTTAATTCGTAGTTTCGTGGTAATTAATTGAAGGTGGAGGGGTTACCAGCCCCTCGCACCCGTCCAGAGCCCCCGTTTAGCCCCTGTGGTGGACACATATGCCATGAGGGGAGGAGCCAATCAAAATTGGATCTCCCCCCACAGCGCTGTCCACGACAGAGTTGCCCGTCCGGCACCGCGAGGAGGTAGGGGGTTGTTTTGCCGGACCACACACGCACTGACACACAACAACAACCGCC